TTTTTTTTCTTCTTTTTGTGTGTGCATTTGTGCTCAAGTTTTCTTGCTGACCTGTATTTTATTTCCATTTAATGCTGATGTTAACTAGCTGCCTGGCTCTGCTAGCCCCTATGGTTATTCCAGGCAGCAAGTACTCTAATTTTTACTTTTAATATTTTCATTGAAATTATAATTTTTACTTTAGCAAGAGTGAGTACAAATAAACATTGATTATTGATTATTATTGGTCATGTTGTGAGTTTTGTAGAGTCCGTAGAATGAACTCAGGACAACTCAACACAACACATGTTTAATCAACATGGTGACCCGTGAAAGCATGAGATCCCAGCATGCACTGCAAAGAATTTGCATGACAAATACATATATGGGCATAACTGTACACCTCCCTTCCTAGTACAATTGAGTGAACTGATTAACAAAGATAAAGGTAATTGCACGTCTGCAAGCATTGTTCCCTCCTTAAGCCTTGATTTGATGGTAAACTTAACTACTACTTAACAGTTTGGCTATCAAATATTTGATAGTGCATAGCACAGTCTCTGAAGTGCATAAATGCAATAACTGTTTCTTAGACTACCCTGATAAAGTCAAACATATTAGTCTAGATGTCCACTCTCCCTGAACGTGTTTGTAATGGAGCTGTTTGACTGCAGACAGACTGCATTGGAGCTTCAGTTATGGTACCCGGGAGCTGAGATAGTAATGGAGCTGTTTGACTGCAGACAGACTGCATTGGAGCTTCAGTTATGGGAGCTGAGATAGTAATGGAGCTGTTTGACTGCAGACAGACTGCATTGAAGCTTCAGTTATGGTACCAGGGAGCTGAGATAGTAATGGAGCTGTTTGACTGCAGACAGACTGCATTGAAGCTTCAGTTATGGTACCTGGGAGCTGAGATAGTAATGGAGCTGTTTGACTGCAGACAGACTGCATTAGAGCTTCTGTTATGGGAGCTGAGATAGTAATGGAGCTGTTTGACTGCAGACAGGCTGCATTGGAGCTTCAGTTATAGTACCCGGGCGCTGAGATGGGCCAGTCATTTCTTCTGGGTCTTGACCAGCATGGTAGCTTGCAGTGTGGGTGAAAGTGGCTGGCTTGTCTGCCTTTGAAGGGGACTGTAACTCTGCTTTGACAACAGCAGATCTGTCACGTCATACTGTGTCCTTCTCTGTTTCGACAAGAAAGAAGTGAGGATACTGAGTGCGCCCTTGCTTGGTGTTGCTGGTTAAAGCTTCGCCTTTAGTTGGATCTGTAGATTTTTTCTTTCTTCACAACTTCGTCATGCTCTCCCGTTAAGTCTCTGGGTGCCAATGTCTTTGTAAAGACAGGGAGCTGAGTCCGGAGTCTTCATTTCATAAGTAGCTCACTTGGTGAGAGACTGGTTTGTAGGGGAGTAGATCTGTAGGTGAGAGGTGCAAGGTAGGGGTCATCATTCTTCTTTAACAGTCCTTTTACAGTTCTTACAGCCCTTTCAACCTCTCCATTTGCCTAAGGGTGTCTGGGAGAACTGGTCGTGTGAACAAACCCATAACTGGCAGCAAACTCTTCTGAAACAGAAACTTCTCTACTGAAACAGGGTCCATTGTCTGAGATTACTATGTCTGGTATACCATGGGTTGCGAATAGCACCTTAGAAGCTGTGGTCACACTCTTTGCCATTTGTGTTGTGAGAAGCTTGATCTCGATCTGTCTGGAATAGTAGTCAACAGTGATAAGGTATGCTCATCCCTCATACTCAAACAAATTAATGCTAATCGTCTTCCAAGGGTGACTGGGAAAAGATGACGACACCAAGGGCTCCTTGGGTTCAGGTAGTTCGTTTGCACATGTGAAGCATGCTTTGACCATGTATTTGATTGCTACAGATAGCCCTAGCCACCAAACTGACATTCTGGCTCCAGCGCTGCATTTGCTAATGTCGAGGTGAACATGATAGATGCAGTCTAGTACTTCTAATCTTAGAGCTTGTGGGATTACGATGCATTCATCAAAGAAGAGAAGATCGTCAATGACTGCTAAGTGAGCTCTGCTCTCCCAATATGGCCTGAGTAGGGGTTGATGGGGCATGTATACTGGCCAACTGTCTTGGCAATACCTTCTGACTTGCATGCATACTTCATCATTTCACTGAGCTTATATGACCTCTTGAAGGCGCTGAGCAGTTGCAGGAAGATGGTTCATTGTGGAGCTAGCAAAGACTTCAACTTCTTCAATGAACTGTATGTCAGATGTATTCGGGGAACTGGCTGGAGCAGGTGACAATACATGAGTGAAATCTGACATTTACCAGGAACGTGTAAGACTTTGGGGTTGTATCGCATCATTCGGAGATGGAAGCGCAATATTGTAGGAGGTATCTTGGACAACTCAGTTGTTGTAAGGAGGGGAACAAGTGGCTTGTGGTTTGTGAGTGGAAGTTGACTCAGTTGTGGATGTGTTTGGTTTTGTTCTGCTCCCAAGGACAATCCTTGTTGTGGAGCTGGTTCTGTTTCAGGCATTTTTAGGGTCATCCACTGCTGCCACTATGTAGAATCCGTAGAATGCACTCACGACAACTCAACACAACACATGTTAATCAACATGGTGACCCATGACAGCATGAGGTCCCAGCATGCATTGCAAGCAAAGAACATCCATAACAAATACATATATGGGCATAACTGTACAATCTTGTGGTAACAATGTGGATTGTGAAGATATGTAAATGACTATATGAAGCATTATATATCAGAACTAAAAGAGAAAGATTTGAGGACACACGAGACCATCCCAATTAAGTATTATGCAACTTAATACAGGTGGTTGAGGAAAAAAACCTGAGTTCACTACCATCTTACAAAACAAATTTTGCTGAGTGAAATAATTTCAAAATTACTTGACATCATGGCAATACTGCTTTTTGTACCAAGTTGTCAAATCATTCAAAAGTAATGGTAACAAAATAGCTGAACTGATCTTGATTGCTAGTGATCTGTCAACTGGGAGACAGACTACTGACAGGAAACTGACAGTTGACCAATAAATTTCAACCACTTGTGAAACACATCTAATATATATCAGTAAAATAAACTTGAAGAAACATGCATGACATACTTTCATAGGCTACTTTAAGGTCACATGGCATCTGATGATGAAACTGATCTCCCACTGAACTGCTTTAACTGGGCAGGATTGCAAACAACTTCACAGAGGGAAACAGTGCACTGTTGCCTATGAATGCTGAATGTGGGCTGCTATTTTCTCACTGAATCTACTAATGCTGTAGCTGTGCTAATAAAAATTGAGTCATGTGTAGCAACCCTTGTAAGGTCTCTCATGAATGTTGATACCCTTTCAGGGAACAACAGAACAAACAACAGAAAAAATGCCTCTAGCCCTTAAAAAAAGAACTGCCACAATAATTAAACAATAGCAGCATGCAAGAGCTGCTACACTTCTGTAAAAATCCCACTCAATCACTGGTCTCTTGGGGACCTGAAATTGTTCTGATTAAATCTCTAATGTCTCCCTTGACTCAGATAGGGGAGATTCCTGGAAAACAAAAGTAACTATTTCTTTTGGTGCCAGTCACTAAGTTTAAAAGATTGCTGTACATGTTCCTCCAGCCAGTCACAGTGGATGGAGGGGGAGGAAAACACTGATAGAAATGCAACAGCCTACATCAATGGTTCGGGTAACATCTGTCTGATTATTTTTCCAAACGCGTGAGACCATCAACACGTAGAAAAAGGAAGTACGACGGAAACTGAATCCAAGAGAATAAACCATGTAGAATTTGACAATGTCTATTGTACATGGTGTAGATACAATGGAATGCCAATTTTTCGAACCTCAAAGGGAAACGAAAATTGGTTCGAAAAATCGGCGGTAAAATTACAGTGTTCGAATTATGAGAGGGAAACAACTTTTGGTTCGAGTTACTGGGAGGTTCAAATAAACGAGGGTGTGAGAAATTGGGATTCCACTGTATGTTATCGGGACGTAACATGTCGATCAAAGTCGATCTTCAAGAACGTAGTCGATAAGTCGATAGTACTCGATATTTTTCGATAATCGTCAATCGACAAGTTTAATTTGTCGATAAAAGTCGATAATCACAAGATTTTAACTGATTATCAATTTTGTCTACAAAAATGCAGACACATTTTTCAATCGGCCACGAAATTACAGAAGTGTAAACAGGTCTAAAGTAAATCCGTATGGCAATAAAGTTGACTAAAAAACTAAAAATCAAAATCGATCAAAGTCGATCAAAGTCGATAATCACAAGAAATTGTGTGATCGATTTTTATCGACATCCGATATTTGTCGATTGATTAGTATCGAATTCGATCGACAACGATCGTTTTTTATCGACTATCGAAATTATCGACATGTTACGTCCTGATGTTATTTAGCCGTTAAACTTTTGCTCACCGCGAGTCCAATCCACGTTCAAGGAGGATTCGTTTTACTTCATCTTTCTTCATCTTGTTTATTCGTCCATTTGAGAGTGATATTTCCCTGTAGACAGGGTGATCACAGTAGTGTGTTGTGTTTTCATCCGTACTTTCCTTTTCATCGTCAACAAGGGATCCTTCCGCC